TCATCAAATTACAGCTTATGAAACATCTTAAATAGTGTGCCATTGATGTGTGGAAATATTTCTACTCACTGACAATTTGTTTTTGAGGCCTCTTCACCGAAACAAAAGGAGTGGCAGTTTGTTTTTTTAGTGACGGAGAACACAGGTGAGGACAACCGAACTGTATTGTACAAAACTACAGAGTTAATTGGTAAAATAGAAAAACCATATAGTAAATCGTTAATTTGCAAAATATCAATCCATCATATCAAACTGGACTGTTCCTGTTGCAAACATCAGTCCATTATCTGACATTTCATTGTTCATGCGTTTTAATACAAATTGCACTGTGTTCCCGCTCTTTCTTTCTTGATCTTCTCCCATCTTCTGCTCCTAGACATTACGTTTTTAACTCGCGTCATACACTACTTATATCAATTTAAGTAGCGCGCACCTTAGGTTTAGTATCTGAAATAGTGAGCTTGCTAATCTGACTATTTACTCGCCACAGTACACCATAGAGTTAAGTTGAACTATGTAGCTTCTTTATTCACTTTTGCTTGAATTAAAATTGGATGATTTCATTACTTATAGGTCTGGTTCATATCAAAAGCGGCATCAGGATTCCTCTTCGTTTTATTACCCTTTAAAGATCAATACGCGCCTAACAAATAAGGTTATTGTGATAATAAGGAGTATGTGAATTATAGCGCGAATTAAGAATTCTAGAAATAACGCAAATGGATGATGAAGTAGTACATAAGCACGAACGAATGTACTGTATTTGGAATTCGAAATCAAGCATTCATCATGTGCAAAGGAATCGTTAGTTCAAACAAACACCACAGTTATATTTATTGGGAGTGGGAAGAATAAATGATGTAGGTGAAGTGAAATTTCGTCCTGCCTGAACATTAAAGGAAGAACAATGACTGATTTAATTGCGCATATATGATATTAAGCCAGTGACAAATTTGCTATACATCCACATAACTCAGATTAAGAACACATAATTCGCCTGACTAGTACGAGTGTTGATCAGCAGTTATTAAATACGACGGATGAAAAGATACAGAACGAATCATATACCTGTCGGACTATCTAATAGTCTATTTCAAAAGACAACCAATCATTGTCTACGTTCGTCTACTTGAATTAATCAAATTATCACAATTTTGTGATAAATTTCATTGAGTATCCAATTTTTATGAGTTGCTTTATCAGAATAAACAATTTTTCATGTGTTTTGTCAATTGAGTATAGCATCGCACTGCTATTTAAGGGATTTTGAAGGGACACCGTTTGTAACCGACAGGTTGAAAGCTGTTAAAATTCAAATACCGTCCTATCCGTGTTTCTTAGCTAAATATACTCTTAAAATATTTTCTTCTTGCAATAAGATGTAAAGAATTCAGTTAGTTATCTCTTTCATATTGATCTGTAATCGTTATGTTGTTATGAGTATAGTGGCATTGGGCCATAACCACACAATCCTCAAAGCTGAACACAAGACATTTGGGAAAATAGATACTCAACATTTAACGCGGAGAAAACCGCGACGATGGAGAAAGTGGGAGGAATGAATTCATTTAATTCGAAATTGAATTCATCGAATGACATGGCTCGACCTTGCAGGCGCGGTTATAGTTGTGTAAAATAATTTTTATCCATATTAAGTATATTGTTCTATCTGCAGCCTAAATATGTTCTTTATCATATATTGATGATTGTAACCATTCAATGAGTCAGAGTAGATAATGATGTGACTTCCACGTAAGATCTTATAGATTAGGTAGTTAAATCATAACAAATCTACAATTTTAAGATAAGGTCTATTATTAGAGCAGTACTAATATCATAGTAGACTATGATTCTCTATGAGAATTGTTGAGGTAACAAAGTAATCAAGAAGTGTAATCCATAGCATCATAAATGATATGCACATCATTAACTTATCTGGATTAGTATGTTGTGTTCTAGATTTCATGTTTTAGTTTCGTTTGTTCTAGGTTAGTCATTAAGATATCGTCTAAAATAGACACTAATGGTAATCTTATGGCCACTCGATCGGTTTGTTTTTATAGTTGATAATTGAATGAAAAATAAACCTTATTGGTAATAATTTTCTCAACTCATTTTGAGCCAAAATATGTAATTCAGATTGTTGGCAAAAAACCTTCGGGATAGGTGTGGCACACAAACCGACAAAATCAATACAGTCAATCCTATGCAAACCAAAGGATGAAATAACAAAAGAAGATAAATCGAACATCATCTACAAAATAAATTGTGTCAACTGCGACAAACACTACATCGGACAAAGCGGATGCCCCCTTCACATGCGCTTACATGAACATCAATTAGCAGTCAAACGGCATGATATCTCCTCACTTATATCAATACACGTGGACAACTGCGGACACACATTCGATTGGAAAAATGTGGAAATCGTGGACAGAGGAAATTCTAAAAACACAAGAGAATTTTTAGAAGCCTGGCACTCAGGTCAATCAGCAATCAACAAACATATTGAAATCGATCCGATATATCAACCATCAGGAAACTTATGCACAAATATAAGAACAAAAATTAAACCAATAGGAGACAAAACCAAGACAAAAAGGTAAACAATGACAAATTTAAGGTCAATAAGAACCAATCAACATCGAGGTGCACAGAACAAGCTGTGAAACGCATATGGAGAAATTCGAACACTTCACTTCTATCTGAAGTTTGTACCGATGATGTCGTTCAGAAGAACGATGAAAGCTCCACGACCAAACCATCCAGCTCAGAGAACAAAACTCCATCAAAAGTAGTTTCTTTTAATGGTATACCTATAAATAATGAACACATATCAAAAGATACCTTGGGTTTATCTGAGAATTTGTATCATTGGTTGGAATTTTAGTTTGTATGCGACTGATGAGAAACTATGAAGTAGAATGATGAATTCCTATTATTTTGTAAACCTTTCTGTTTTTGCTCTGTTCAAATAATAAATGTCAATCTATTAAATCAAATATGTTGTTCAACCTGTGTCCAATGTATTTCACTGATTCCAAGCAACTTCAGGTTGTATCTTTTTATTTTTGCAGCAATTCGGATGACTTTCCAGGTCTCCTACATTGTGCGAACATTCTATGTACCTGAATCAATGGTTGTTCTGGTTGTCATAAGAGGCACCAATCTCGTGACTTCTTAAGGAACTCGGCTTTTAACATGAGGCGATATAACTCTTTTAAATGAAGACCTTCTAAATCTCAAGGCAGAGTTTAAATGCTTTAAAGTATTTTTTTCTGGTTAGCGCTTTTTTAACGATTTAGTTTTCTACGGGACGGAATCACTAACTTTATACCCAACCCTCCATTTTTATCCGGGCTTGTGACCGGCAGTACCCTTAGAGGGGCTCCAGTCGGAGTTATTAAATGAAATATGAATAAATATAACTATTAGGACAAGAAATATTTGTAAACGAGTTGATTTAAGGAGTCATTTACTAATGCAAATATGAAATGCAGAGATTGATTCAATCAGGATAAGATCACTTAAGCAAGGGCAACATGATGTGTTTACAAGGAATATTACTTATGAATAATATAAATAATTCATTATTCTACAAAATAAAATAGAGATGTAAAGACCTTTATTTCTCTATTAAAGTATTATAATACTCTCTTTATTTCTTCAATATATTGACGTTAAGCGTTCGCTCGCAAAACTAATAACTCCTGGGCTCGAATCCATCGAGGGGGGATCGTGGATGCGCACTATTAAAGAGTCCCAAAATAAGGCAAAATAGCCATCCAGTACTTTTAGGTTTTCCATGTTGGTCTAGTTTTGAATTGACTTATGATCTCAGTTATTAAATTAATAAGATCTCTACAAAACTTCCTTCTGATATTTGTTAGGTCCCAATAAACATAATGAATGGTAACTTTTGCGATCCATTTATGGACCAATACTAAACGTATATTCTTACCGTATAATTATTAACTGACTGAACTATTGATATTGATGTACCTCTTATTATAAGCTTTATTTTGGTCTGTGAACTATTATTATATGATCTACCATTCTTGAGTTATGGCCTGTCTATCAATTACTATCTCCCACATTCACAACCACATTTGTCTAAGTCTTGTACAAATGTTGATTGCTATTTTGATGGTTAAATGTGATCTATTTGGTTGGTATATAAACCCCGTATGCTTGAAATAAATGATTCATATCACAGAGGCTGAGACTGGTGTTCTAGACTTAACTGGCTGATGTAGACGGGAAGAAGGACCAATCAGTACTCCAGACTATTCGAACTTGGTTTTACGAGTCACTGGTCTGATCGATAATTCACTGTTCTCTAATTAGCGGTATTATCATGTTCTAACAATATTATCTAATTATTCGATTGAGATCATGAATCGACTGATGTTAGACCAGCGTTGGAAACCTGGAAGCATTAGACGGCCATTTCATCCTAGTATGGGGCTCCTCAGCAGTGCGCATCCACAATCCCGCTCGCAAGATTCGAACCCAAGGCCTTCAATTCCGCGCGCGAACGCTTAGCCTACTGGACCACTGAGCCGGCATCCAACGGAGTTAGTGTTTAAGATCAACCAATCCACGAAATTGCGTGACCATCTTTCATTGTACTTAGGTAGATACCTGTCTCTACCCGACACGGATTAGCTCCACTGGTCACGGCTTCTCACTAGAACTCCGAGATTTCCCTCACGAAGCTAGTCACTAATGAGAACATGCTGATTATCAGTATGGGGGTTGTGGAGGTGCATGATCTCAATCAAAAACCTGGAAGCTTACAGGTTTCTAACGGTAATCTAACATCAGTCGATTCATGATCTCAATCAAAAACTTAATAATCTCCACAACCCCAATACTGATGGTCTAATTATTCATTTCATTTTCTCTAATAAATCCTCATTGATTATATAAATCATTTCAATATTACACATATGATTGATAGAAATGTGTTACCAAGGCAATAATAAAACAAAAATCAATAATTATCATAATTAAACTGTTTATTATATAATAAAAAGAAAGTTTCTCTATATTAGATGTTACGTTTAAAAACAAAACAAACAAAACATTTCAATGTTATATAATTGTACATATAACATCTTTGGTACAATCAATCATTGATAAAACTATAATTTATGAACAATCTTTAATTAACACTAAACTAACCTTGTATAGTATCCACCTAGTAACTAAGATCAAATTAAAGATTATAAACTAGTGTAAGGAATAAGAATTATGATTTACAATTGTTAGTTAAGGTTAACAATTACATTTAAAGTATTTGAACATGATCATGATCATGCCAAAACTTTATTAAATCCAATGGATCAGTGAATTTCGCGCCAAAAATTCAACATTAGTTATCTTATCTCTGATTGGTTCGTTCATAAATAATAGTCTCACTTCAGTAATCATACATATACTTATATACATATATAAGTATCATTTAAGTAGTATATGAATACATGAATAAAAAAATGAATTCTATATATATATATATGTATAAAATGTATTCATATAAGCAAATTACAAACTGTACTATTCTATGTACAGATTATTTTTTATATATAAATTAATCAAAATTATCATATAATATTTAATTGTTTTTGTATACTATCTAAATTGAATTCACATTCATTAACTTTTTCTATAAAATAATTTCTATTTTTAATAATTTTTAATAAATCTGCTTGTACAAAATAAATATTTTCCCATTTTATTGCTTCGTTACTATCAAGATGATGATAATATTGATTAGATTTAATTGATGATGTTATATCATCATTATTAATAGTCGGAGTAGTAGTCGAGGTAGTAGCCGGGGTAGTAGTCGGAGTAGTAGTCGAGGTAGTAGTCGGAGTAGTAGTCAAGGTAGTAGTCAAAGTAGGAATCGTAGTATTATCAAGTTGATATAAATCAATGACATTAGAACCATCTTCTTCAAAACGTATATTATCATCAAATAATATATGTTGAATATATTGATCATTAGGATTAAACCATAATGGTTTTGATGATTTATAATGATAATTATGTAATTTCCAATATGTAAAATCATCTGTTATATGTATAACACCAATTTGATTTGACCATATTTGATATATATCATAAGGATTATTTGATATATTAATAAATTGTTTATGATTATTATTTAAAAGATCATTTTGTGGAATTTCTTTCATCAGTTGAAATAATGGTTCATTATCAGAACGTTTTAAATACCATTTAGTATAATCAATTGGTAAAAATTGTTTAGCATTATATGGTGCTTTCTCTTGTGAATGTTTACCATGAATATATGCTTCTATAGCTGATAATATATGTTCACCATCTTTACCATAAGTACGTATAAATATAGCAAATTGACGATTAGTTTCAATAAGCCATGTTAATAAACGATAAAATGCTGGCATTAAATAATGATAATAATCATTATTTTCATTCATATCATCTATATCACTATGGTTACCATGGTGATTGTTAATTTTTCCACTATTTACACATAAACAATATGGTGAATTAATTGATTCAATTGGTGTTAATTTTAACATTTGTAAATATTCATTAAATAAATTACGATATGGTAAACCTTCTGGTGTTTGTGTAAAATTACCTAAATATTTTCTTATTCTACCTCTATCAGATGTTATTTTAACAATTTGTTTCTCTAATAATTTATATATACTTATAGCATTTGGTTGAGGTTGTTTAATACATAATGGTATTGGTAAACGATTCCAACATGCTAATGTAGATTTAAAATTAGCTAATTCATTTGGTGTTAAATTTTCAAAATTTTCACCTTCATATGGTTGACGAATATCTATTGAAGTTGTTGTTGTTGTTGTTGTTGTTGTTGTCGGGGTGGTTGTAGGCGTTGTTGTTGTTGTTGTTATGGGGGTGGTTGTTGTTGTTTTACAAGAGTTAAATTCATGATCTAATTTTTTTTTTAAAACAAAAAAGAAAAAAAATTTATTGATTAAAGAAGTGGGTGGTGAAGATGCATTGTTGAAGAGTCTCATATTAGAACGAAACAGCCATCCAGTACTTCAAGGTTTTCAATGGTGGTCTAAAATCAATCAGTTTATGATCTCAATGAAAAAAAAAACATAATAATCTCCACAACTCCTATAGTGATAATATCATATTTCAATGGTTAGGATCATGAGTCGGTTGAAGCTGGACTACCATGGAAAACCTGGAAGCACTGGACTGACTCATGATGTTAACTATTAAAATTACTATAATATCTACAAAACCCATCTGATATTAATATCATGTTTATTAGTAAAAAATATTGATTTTATGTTATAAATTGTGGATTTGTGCTCTTACCAATATATAAAGTAATGATACCGCCAATTAGAGAATAGTGAATTATCGTTCGGATCAATGACGCATAAAACAGGTATCAGCGTTCTAGAGTGTTTATCGGTTCTTCTTCCTGCCTAGCCCTCCAATCTTAAGTTCAGAACACCAATCTTATGTATTATGTATTTCAAACATACTGGATTTAAATACCAACCAAAAACAGACCACATCGTACCATAAATTAGGAAACAACATTTGTACAGGATTTGGCCAGAAGTGGCGGAGAATATGGGAGGTGGTAATTGATATTTTCAAATACTCACTTTGGTCTATTTATTGATTAAAATAATAGAACGCTTAACTTTTAGATTGTGGATTCGAACCTAAAACAGTTTAACTGATGAATAGTAAATTGCCATCTAAGAGAAATTTCTAGAAGTATAAAACAACTAAATTCACTTGTATCCTGCCATTGTTATTTAGTACTGCAATTGAACAGTCTTTTGTTGGCATATGTGCAATGAAATTCAGGACGCGCCTTTCCCCTTATTTGGGAATCGTCAGTTGAGATTGATCAATTGTAGTCCTAAATGACAATGGGAAGATACAAGTAAAAAAGAACACCAAATGTATTTAAACTTCACTACAATACACAAGCAAGTGGCTGGCAGGACTCAGTAACTAAGTGGATAACACGATGACGTTTGAAGTGAACAGTACTGGATTCGAGTCCAATAAGTGAGTATCAACTCTGAGATTCAGGCACACTCAGCTGATGAGTCCCGAATAAGACGAAACACGTGCCCTGGATTCCATTACTAGCTACTATCTATCTTTGCTTATGAAACAATTGTTTACTGAAAAATTATTATTAACTGACAATAGTTCAATTTTATTACTGTAAAATGTTACTGTTAAAAAGTAAATAAGTATCTAGTTACTTATTGTGGAATGTAAATCTAATTATAAACATAGTACTTAAATTTCTTAATTAAGTATTGAATTAGATATATACAACAATTATGGTATAGATTCACAAAAGTCATAGTATTAACCTTATTCAGAATATTAATTAAAGTCTATCATTTATGATGATAAATGATAAGTGATGTATGTCAGAAAATAAAAATGAATAGATGAACTGATCAAAGTCTACCAGTCGTTGTAATGCTAAGAATAGTTTTTCTTAGATCAACACTCATATACCGCATAATCTCAGTTGAAATATGTATGCATCAATCATTAATAAATGGAACTATTGAAGATTGTAACTTGGTTGTTTTCTCCTATTGTGGGATGCCTAAGAATTGAGCATCCACGATCCGGCCTTGCAAGTTCAATGCGGGTCTGTTGTGAGTATTAACTCACTGAGGACAATAGTAGATGATGGAGGAATTTAGTGAATCGTTTGAAGTTAGACATTAAAATCGTTGGATGCCAGCTCAGTGGTCTTTAAGTTAAGCGTTTGAGCGCGATACCGATACGTCCTGGGTTCGGATCCCGAGCAGCATGATCCTAGATGCGCTCTGCTAAGGATTCCCATGCTAGGACGAAATGTTTATCCAGTGCTTTCGGGTTCCCAATGGCAATGTTGATTCAATTGACTCATGAATTCAACTATTAAAATTATTTTAATAATCTGAAGCAGTTTGTAGAAATTGGACAAATAAATTATGTAAGAAACATAATTATTTCATTTTTTGTGTAGCTTATACTTAATTATATATAAGTAGTAAGTCAATTATTATGTAAATTTTCAACCTATATGTCGCACTCATACGTACATGTCGTGGATGCGCACTTCTGAGGAGTTCCACAATAGAACGAAATGGCCGTCCAGTAATTCCAGGTTTTCAATGTTGGTCTAACATCAGTTGGTTCATGATCTCAATCAAAAACGTAATAACCACCATAACTCTATACTAATGTATATATATATATATATATATATATTTATTTGAACACATAGATATTGGTACAAGGAGGCACCAAATACATATGCGCCATACAAATTTCATTTGATATGTGTGAGGGCTGTGGTACTGACTGTGTACCCAAATCAAAGCAGATGGTCTTCTTAGGAGGCCACACCTGAAGCCTTCGACCTAATGGTCTGACCCATAAGGCAGTGGGGCATCGTAAAGAGATAGGTTCATACGCCATTTGTACCTTCAAGATACTGGAGCCCATGTGCACCATTGGTTTGGAATCAGAATTCACCAACTCCCCTAGGTGGACTCGCTGTTTTCACCAACCCGGTTAAAGCGCTGGATATTCTCTTTTCATCCTCTCAATGTTGTAAACAACACCCCCGTCACGAGAAGGAAGTGAGTAAGACTTCATTGGCAGAGGCTATATACGCATGGCTATGTGAGAGTATTTCGAGGGAGAGAGAGAGAAAGGGCGGACTCTCCCCACTCTCGGCCGTACCAGGGCATTTGGGGGCAATGTATATACATATATGATTACACAATACACCAAGAGATAAGTACTTATTCATTATATATCTATATGGTTTAATACATATATCTATATGTAGACATGATTAGTATATTCGGTAGGTTTGTTTTAAAAGCAACTTATTCCATTGAAAATAATAAAGAACGTAACAAAATACTTCACGTATACAGAATTCCATCCTAATCAAAGTAAACATATTTCTTTATATTATGTACAACTAATTAACTAAGCATGTATATAAATGAGTATGACCTTCTTTATTATTATTGTATACAGAGTGTCATTGATACATCATATTGCATTACTTATGTGTGAATGTGTGTATGTGTATGTGTGTGTGTGTGTGTGAGCTGATCTTGTATAATACAAATAGGTTACTGAGTAAAGAAGTGGTTCATTAAATAATAAAACTATTTTATTATATAAAATTCAATTAATTATAAAAGATTAAGGCTTATAAAGTAGAATGTACTTCATTCTAGCCTTAAATTCTTCTACGATTCTATTTACACCTTTTTTCTTTCTTCTTCTTCTTCTTTCTATTCAATCTTCTTCTTCTGTTATTGTTGTTGTTGATCAGTTTTAATGATCATGATAATGCTTAATGTTAGTTCATTGATAGAAGACTAGTTTTGCATAATTTTCTTCTTAGATAGTACTTGTAAGTATGTTACACCATCTTGAAGTCTAAGACATTACTAATATGTAATTTAGACCACTGTTGTAATCATACAGTAATAAGATCAATCAGTCAGTCACCTACAACGTAGGACCAGGCACATATATACATCGATTCAAGTTGCCATACCACATTAGCACAACAAGATGAGCACCAGGTTTATAGAAGTAGTTAATTCAGTGATGGTAATATATAAAAGAAAGATTGCATATAAGAATATAGTACAGGAAGAAAGAATTAGTTCGTAGAAAGAAAGATATGAAGCGATTTTAATCTCTTAGTTTAAAGAAAGACACAGAGTGTATACACCTACGCCATTGTGATCGATTCTGAGCCATGTCACCAAGAGTCTCCAACCATTGGTTACGATAGTCACGCGGACCCTAACCAAGTAGTCTGCATCTAACAACATGGCCCAACCTAGAAGTTAGTGACTTCAAGCACTGATGCCACGTTTTGGTTTGGCCGTCCCTAACTTTCTCCCAACCAACCCCAACACCAGTTAGCATTGCGTGTCGTGGTAATCAGTGTTTAGGCATACGTAATATGTGGCCCAACCATCTCAGTCGATGAAGATTTATAACCTCATCAACTGGTTTACCATCATTCCCTAATACCCTGCCTCTAACCTCACTTGTACATACCCAGTAGATGCGAGCAATATTTCTAAGGCATCTGTGGTCAAATACTAGTAACTTATGAGTATCTTCTACTCTTAAAGGCCATGTTTCGCAGCCATAAATAGAACGGAACGAACTGCCGCTCAGTATACTCGTCCTTTTATTGATAGATGGATATATCGCCTGCGCCATAGATGACGTAAGTTGGCGAAAGTCAAACGAGCTTTTCGAATCCGTGCTGAGATTTCGTCGGACACCAATCCATTAAAGCTGATTAGACTTCCAAGATTAGTGAAGTTGTCAACGCGTCCGACTACTTCACTCTCTATCCTTAGTTCAGGTGTTGACACAGGCTAGTCCTGAAGTAACAACTTGCATTTAGAGGGAAAGAAGTGCTACTCAATTATTCTGACATTGTTGCTGAGTGCTACCAAAATACTGCATTTTATCAGCGTCTTCACTAAACAGGACTATATCATCTGCGTATTCTAAGTCGATAAGTGGACTTCCTGGAAGGAGATCAATGTCCGAGAATTCAGTCGATGAGAGCGTTATTTCCATCAGTAGATCTATGATGAAGTTGAACAAAAATGGAGAAAGTAGACAGCCTTGACGGACACCATTTGACGTTGCAAACGCAGATGACAGTTCGCCATAGGCTCTGACTCGATTAGTAGTTTCCGAGTAAAGAGCCTTCACAAGGTTTGTGTAATTATGAGGTACGCCTTTCAATAAGGTATCTACAATTGATTAATTACTAAGTAATGGGTAATATTTTGTTTAAAGCAATTAGTCCTTTTTGATAAATTTTCGATAGTGTAATAATAAGAAGATGAAGATTATGAGAACTATGTGATGAAATATATATATACATATATATATTAGCGCAATACATTTTGAACAACAAGGGAGTATACTAAGGTTTATTGAAACCTTAGTCATATGAAAATTCCACCCCCCCCCAACTGAGTATTCAAAAACAGTTTGTTCTCATCTTAAATCTACCCCGGTAATGTTAGCTTATTATTATCATCCAGAGTGATAAAGTTTCATATTGTTCTCATATTATCAGTATGGGGTTGTAAACATTGAGATCATGAATGTTAGAATACCATTGAAAACTTGAAAGCATTGGACGGTCAACTTTTCCTATTGTAGGTCACGTCAGAAGTGTGCATCTATGATTCCACTCGCAGAATCCGAACCCACGGCTTTCATATTATTTCTTTATTATACTTGTCTCCTCTTACTCTCCATTTCCAGCCTAGTTGACCTTTTAGTTTCTATATATAAATGTTCTTAATAAGTATATGTGTACATTACTACCACTGATTTAACTACTTCTATAAATTTGATGTTGATCTTATTGTGCTAATAAGGTATGGCAACTTGAACCGATGTACATATGTGCCTAGTCCTACGTTATAGCTAGACTGACTGACTGATATGTATGATCAGATTGTTCGAAATGTATTACACTAATATATCATCACATAGTTTTGATCATCTTTGTCTTCTTCTTCTTATTAAATTATCGAATTATTTTGTTTAATTCAATTCTGAATGTTGATCAACTAATTCTGAACACCTAACTATCAACAAATACTTCACACATTGTCGAGTCCCTTGGTCGACAGAAATAGACCAGAATTAAGAAGTAAATAAACTTGACATGGAGAATTACTCTTAATGATTGACTAAATGTGATTCACTACATGAATGGTTTTTAGTCAGAATCTTCAATACAAATGTCAAGACAGTTCTATTGTACGGAGCTGAAACTTTGAGAACTACTAAAACTATCATCAAAAATGTACAAGTATTTATAAACAGTTGTCTATGCAAAATACTCATTATCCGTTGATCGAATATCATCAACAACAGCCTACTATGGGAGAGAACAAACTAGCTTCTAGCAGAACAGTAAATTAGGAAAAGACGTCGGAAGTGGATAGGACACATATTGAAGAAATAAAAAAAAACTGCATCACGAGTCAAGCACTGCCTTATGATCCTGAAGGGAAACAAAAAAAAGGAAGGCCAAAGAACACACTGCGTCGGGCATTGGTAACAAACATTAAAAGGATGAATAGCAACTGGAAAAAAACTGGAAAGCATTGCTCAGGACAGAGTTAGATGAAAAATGTTAGTGGGCAACCTATGCCTCTTTTACGAGGGGTAACTGGCGTAAGTAAGTGGGTAAAGTATTAGTGATATTTACAGGATCTATTTTAGGTTATTTTTTAATTGACACTGCTATCTGATCTAGTGTAAATGATATACGATTTTGACTTCATAGTGGCATATTGTTACATTACAGAATCATTTGATCTGTATTGTCTATCTGATTAATCCAGTTATATGTTAGAAGTGCTATATGACAACACTTTAGTTAAAGTGAAGGTATACAATTATCTCTTTTTTTATTATTTCGAATTGTAAAAAAAGGTTACTCAGTTGGAACCTTCTTCTTGAATTTCATTGGTGATAATGTTCTAGAAAAATCTACGAAACCACTTTGTTTTACTGAGATGATATATAACCTATTTGAATGACTACTTTTATGGCTAAGTTTCGTACTCTAAACTGGATGGTTTGGTCATAGAGATTTCATTATTCTTCTTCTGAACAACATCATTAGCACAAACTTCAGGTAGAAGTGAAGTGTTCAAATTTCTCCTCATTAGATTTAGGGCTTGTCCTGTCGACTTTGATTTTGATTAGCTATCCATCCATCAATCAGAAAAATTACGAATAAATATAAGACCAAGAATTGATTCAATAGGAGATAGAATCAAAATAAAGAGGTTAAAGGTAAAAAATAAACAATCAAAAGTGAAGTTAACAGGACAAGCTTTGAGTTATAACTGGAGACATTTGATCACTTCACTTCCACATGAAGTTTATACTAATGATGTTGTTCAGAAGAACAATAAAAGCTCCATGACCAAACCATCCATTTCAAAGAACAAAAATCCATTAAGATCATCCATTTGAGCTACAAATCATCTTCACTATCTCAAGGTCATATGAGAACATTTGAATAGCGTTTGTTCATTTGACGGACACTCTATTAAAATATACCGTGTAATTTGTGTTCACGACCTCGCCTCAAGAGATTCGCACCCAGGACCTACTAGTCCCGCGTGCGAACGCCTAATCACTACACCGCTGAGCCGGTATTTAATGATGTTAATGTATAACTTCGACCAATCCACGACATCAAGCGACACATCCAACATTGTCTTAAGTGAGTTACTATCTCACAACAGACCTGGTTGAACTCTACTGGACACTGTTTCTCACTAGAACTCCAGGAAATACCTCTTGAAGCCAGTCGCTAGTGAGCGTATGCTGATTCATATCAAAAGGGTTTTTGTGGATATCATAGTAATTTCAATGGTTGAGATCATGAATCAATTGAAGCTAAAGCCCCACAATACGACGAAACGGTGTTCCAATGCTTCTAGATTTTCCATGGTGGTGGTCTAGCTTCAATTGACTCATAATATCTGTTGTGGTGATCCAGAAAATTTCTCTCAAAAGACAAGCAAGGATCAGGAAACACTAAGAAGTATTTCATCAAATCAGCGTTCACTTGAAGTTTTAGCCAGAAATATCAAGAAAGTGAAACGTCACATGCAGAGGTTCTGATTGGCTGATTGTTATACTACTACTATGTTTAGTAGCATTCCAGAACCTTTGGAGTAAAGTATTTCCCGCATACTTTGCGACTTCTCTCTCTGGTGTACAGATCGTTGTATAGTTCTAGCTTGGAGGTTTCAAGGAGATAGCTTAGGAACCGAGTATAGCGTTCAAATCGCAAGACCTATCAATCTCAACCATTGAAATTACTATTATCTTCACAAAAACTCTTCTAATTTGTATTCATTCAATGTAAACCATTTCTAAAATACTATTAGAAACTTATAAATTCATGTAACCCTATATCTACTATGTTAATGTATATGATGAAATAATGTACATACTGGATATAATAGTCTAATGAAAGATAGCATAGTGTTTACTAATCTGACCTATAATTGAAGTCTTTGTTTATATATACATATATCTAGTTGTATGTACAAGAAGTAAATGCCAATAATATGCATACTTCTTTATAACAAAATATTTAACAACACAAAGAATAATTGAATCAAAGTAAAGAAATAACATTGAACCTTTAGATCTCATAACTAACATAATAATGAATTGTAATGTCTTAGAAAAGAAGCTATTTCTATGTTCCAGAGAGTAAGTGAGGGAGGGAGGGGGAGAGAGAGTGAGAGAGGAAACACGCACACGCGCATACAGAGTGAGTTGAGAGAGAAAGAGAGTGAGTGAGAGAGAGCGAGAGAGGAAACACGCACACGCGCATACAGAGTGAGTTGAGAGAGAAAGAGAGTGAGTGAGAGAGAGAGAGAGGAAACACGCACACGCGCATACAGAGTGAGTTGAGAGAGAAAGAGAGTGAGTGAGAGAGAGAGAGAGAGGAAACACGCACACGCGCATACAGAGTGAGTTGAGAGAGAAAGAGAGTGAGTGAGAGAGAGAGAGAAAGAAGAAACACGCACACACACACACACAAAATGTAACTTACTTTGATTTGGATTCATTTCATTCAGAACTTGAGACTTTACAGATTTTATACATTGACTTTGATTTTCATTTCTTTCAATAGTATCATTTGAATGATCTTGATTTGAATCCATTGATAAGATAGTATCAGAATTATTTTGTATATCATTATTTTGATTTTTTTCAGAATTTTCTTTTAATTGACCTAATAAAGAATAGATATATAGATAGATGGTTCTTTTTATGGATGGTTAAAGAATTATCAATGATCAAAATCAATCAGTGAAATAATGAACGATAGATAAATCCAGTAATATATTGTGATTGAATGACAAATACTCATGAAATTGTCTTATTGATGTTAGCGGTCGATAGATTTAGGGTTATTCTTAGTATAATATAACACCCTGCTTATATATGCAGATTATGGTCATCAGATAAGCATGATAAAATCAATCGGGAACTGACTGTTAGTTCAAAACATCGAGGATTGTAACATGTGATAATGGAGATTTCAGCAAATTCCGATGTTGACGATATCCATGAGGTAAATATCTTTGTTTTTAAATTTGACATATAAACAGTATATTTACAATATTAGAACGTTTAACATAAAGTTTTGAGCCATGTCACCCATTGGTTATGATAGTCACGCGGACCCCGAATAAGTAGTCTGCAGCTATCAACATAGCACAGAGTAGACTGATACCACGTTTTGGTTTCGTCGCTCCTAAATTTCTTCTAACTGTTTCCAATACTAGTGAGTATTGAGCGTCGAGGTAATCGGTATTTAAGCATACGTAAAACGTGGCCCAATCATTTTAGCCGATGAAGATTCACAACCTCATCAACTGATTTATCATCATTCGTGAATACCCTGCGTCTGACCTCACTATTACTTAGCCGGTGAACCCAGTAGTTGTGAGCTATATTTCTAAGGCATCTTTGATCATATACTAGTAGCTTACGAGTATCTCCTACTCTTAATGGCCACACTTCGTAGCCGTAAAGTAGAACAGTATACTCATTTCTTAATTTATAGACGCATATCTCGCTTTTATCATAGGCGATGCAAATTGACAATAGCCAAACGAGCTCTTTGACTCGATGTTGAGATTTTCTCAGATGCAGGTGGATCTACCAGACGAATCTCAAATAGAAAGAAATACATATTCAGGATTCCTATGTTAACGACTATCCATTACAGTCAGTCATTCAGTCAGAAACAGCATAGAACTTTGTTCGTGCGTACATCAGTGCGAGTTGTCACACTACATTAGCACAGAGATGCAGTTGACGATTCAAATCCTCTAGTGGTAGAGGTAGTAAAAGTATAAGCATTAATCGGAAACATTAAAGTATAATCCAGTAAAATAAATTTGTAAAGAGAAGAAAAAGAGACACAAAGAATTCACAAGATTAGCATTTGGGAGGACAAAAAGAGTGGATTCACCTGCGTCATTGCAAACGATTTTGAGTCATGTCATTCACGGTCTCCAACCATCGGTTGCTATCATCTCGTGGATCCCAACCAGGTAGTCTACACCAACCAACATGGCTTAGTTCACTTGTCAGTGACTTCATGGATTTGTACCATGTTTTGGTCTGGCCATCCCTAACTTTCTTTCAACCTACTTCTACACCATAAAACATCGTACGTTGGGGTAGTGTGTAACTGATGAAGTTTCACCATACAGTAAATACTTCATTTGCAAAATATCAATCCATCATCTCAAAATTGACTGTTCCTTTTACAAATATCAGTCCATCGTCTCAGATTTCATTGTTTCTACATTTTCATACTAATTACTTTCCATTCCTATTGTTTTCTTCTCGATCTTCTACTGAAATACATTCTATTCCTGATCAACATTATATACTACTTAATTGAATATAAGTAGCTCACATCACAATACTAGTGTATAGAGATACTAAATGTTTATTACTATTTATAATTAAAAGAAAAAAACACACACACACACACCTTTTCTAACCTCATTCATCTAAATATGATGTTTCTCTTAAAATATCATTACAAACTTTGTCACTCGATGTTCGTCTTTTTAATTTTTACACGGATCTTCATTGTCTTTATTTAGAAAACACTAAAGTGACCTAGAAAACTTTAGATTTTTTGAGAAACAATCCAACCTAATTAATAATGGCTAGACATTGATTTGAAAATTTCATTCTAAAATTACATAATTCATGATTTCTTGTTTAGCTTATCTCATAATTGTATATCATATAAATCTAATTCAGATTCCGTTCAAATTATTTGGATACAAGAATGATTTTCCATTGTTTTATTTAGGTAATAGTGATAGGTAGGATTGCCCAATCTCGCGATTTCTTTCCATTAATGGTGCTCCAGAAACAATGCTGATGGAATTAGGCATGGATTATAAATATCTATTACTTGAAGAAAATCTATACAACCATGATTATACAGACGACACTCAAGTTATGCAATCCACGTCTAGTCAGTTGGTGATCAGTATCCGTAGATGTGGTATGTACTTATCACCTTACAGATGGGATTTACTTTTAGAATACTGGAAAATGCCTGTGTTTTCAATCGATCTTGATGGTCGGGAGTTAATAGTAGTTGAGAAGTTCTTGATTCCGGTTGCTGTGTAAGTGCTAGTGGTGGAGTGACTAATGACATCATTTTGGGTGTAGTGAAAACCACAGCAGCATATACCAATCTGGGTTATCTTTGTGATCTTTGTGATGTTGAATAACCTGCAAAAAGACCGGTTTACAACGTTTAAATAAGAAAAATTCACTCTATACTTGTCAAACTTAGCCTCTTCGTGTTGAGAGCGAGAAGCCATTCTATGTGTTTGATCACTGTTGTCTACGAAGTATTGTAAACGTTCAGTGGCAACACCATATTAGTATTGTAAAGAATCTGTAATATATGTTCGGGTAAAGTGATGATAATTTAACTGGTCCTAATCATTTCGGAACACCAACAACGTCGTCTAGGGGGAAGCACTACGAATGACATCCCATAGCGCATTATTTGTCAACCATGGATCTGGTCGGAAAAAGTGAATAGGTGGTCAGTTTGTGACTTGACCTCAAGGAATTAACGAAGGTTGTACAAGACTGCCATTTGTCGGCCCTTCAAGACTTCCTAATTAGGTTCCTAAAGATAATGTAACACAGTGGCTTGTGTCTTTACCTACAAGGCTTAAAATAAAAGCTAATAGTGGCTCTGTTGTAATTTTCGTTCACCTTTTTTTGGAAACAATAGGAACTTTTGTAACTAAAAGGACTCTTTCTTAAGTAATTTAATAACAAACATTGTGAGATGATCCTTATCAAGGCAATTTATTACCAATCATAAGGGAATATGAATCAAACAATTTCAATATCAAAGTTTTCTAAGGTGATAAGACTATAGTAAGAACATTTTGTTTTATGGAAGTGAATTAGAACCTACCACTACTCAAACTTAACAATCATTATATAGCTGAATTTATGAGTCAATTAAAGCTAGACCACAACGGAAAACATAGAAGCACTGTATGGCCGTTTCATCCTCAATATCACAAAACCCTCTTCTGATAATAATCACCACGTGCTTACTAGTGACTGGCTTCAAGTGGTATTTCCTGGAGTTCTAGTAAGAAGCTGTGGCCAGTGGAGTTCAACTAGGACTGTTGTGAGATAGTAACTCACTGAGGAGGATGGTGAACGATGGCGAAATTTCATGGATTCCTCGACGTTAGGGATTAACACAGATGTAAACTCAATGGCCTACAGGTTAAGCGTTAGTGCGCAAAACCGATAGGTCTAGTGTTCGGATTCCATGAGCAAAAAAGTGGATGCGCACTGTTGGAGAATCCCAAAATAAGACGAAACGGCTCTCCAGTACTTTCAGGTTTTCCAGTGGTGGTCTAGTTTTAATTAAGTTTACTTATAAAGATATCTGTATATCAAGTAATCTCTATCTACGATATTCATTTTTTGTATTCGCTATACAACATACTGTACATACAACATACTATACATCATACTGAAAAAATATATTAGGTATGATATATAGTCTTTCTGTAAATTTGTCAGATTTTCAAACTTGTAACGCTTATTCGGTGAATAAAATCTTAGGTAGCGCTCAACAATGAAATCATTCAGAGAAACTTCAGCTTTATACTCCAAAATAAAATGAATATCATGATAAAATCACATAAAATCTCTATAATAATAAAGATAATAGTTCGATTGTGGTATGTACTACTAATGTCGACAAATATAAGTAGTATTGTGGTGTGATCTACTTATATTTATATAAGTAGTAGATAACAATAATCAAGAATAGAATGTATTTTAGTAGAAGATCAAGCAGGAAAGAATAGAAACAAAAAGCAATTAGTATGAAAATGTAAAAACAATGAAATCTGAAACGATAGACTGATATTTACTAAAGAAATAGTCAATTTTGAGATAATAGATTGTTATTTTGCAAATAAAGTATTTACAGTATGATTCTCAGATTTTAGTAGGATATTCTGCCATGTTGAATCCACATTCGTGTTGTTGGTTCACTACAGTATATTGATTCACGCATGTGTCAGCAAACGAAAGTGAAATGATTGAAGCCAGAAGTTTAAGAAGATAGAAAAAACGAGGTCGATTTCTGAGAATGATTAATATTGGACCGAAGATTCAATCAATTCTGTATGGTTCATAGATATAATAAAAACTTTCTAATAATTTCATATTTAAAATCATTCGATTGTTCACATCTGTATTCTTATTCATTACACTATGACTTGAAGTATTCTAAACTAAAACCTTTGAGGTTCCTATTATAAATTGGCATTACCATAACATCCTTGGTCCATACGTTTGATTATACATATATATATATATATCTATTTCAATAACAAACAAATGAATTCATACCAAAAACAAACAGAAGACATGGAATGATTTCATTCTAATTCAGATTTAGTCTGAATCTTATCATATAAAAATAATCTATTATGACTAATGATATACCTTTATTTAGATTCTTTAATCTATTCATTTTGTCTAAATTTAACCAAGATTAACTGATTATTGAATTCATTGAAAATTATTACAAAATATATTTGGTATTGTTTTACTTTAATCTTTCCATTGATGTTTAACATTTCAATTGATCAGTCACTTGTTAGCATATGAAGGCGGCTTGCTTGAATATCTGGGCTA